TACTACACAGACAGACAGACAGACAGACAGACAGACAGACAGACAGACAGACAGACAGACAGACAGACAGACAGACAAGTAGACTCACCAGGGATGACCTTGGCAAAGCTCACGTAGCCCATGACCCACTTCTCAGCTCTCCTCACGCTGGCAGACCGCGGTTCATTGCGCATGTCCAGAGCGTTAGGCCAGCTGGTTCCAGTGTTCAGTTTGTTGAGGTCAGTCGGTGATGAGTGGATGGGCATCTGTACGATCTCGGAGACCACACCCTGCACGCAACACACCTTTCGTGAGTCCTTCACGTGCGCTCTCCCAACTTTTTCGTCCGAACCGAACACGGAAACAACCGGTCCTGAACCGCGGAGTTTTCCTTTTTTACCATTCGCGCGCCGACCTGGTGGTGGTGGTGAGTCTTCAAAACCAGTGGGGTTGCTGGGGTAGAAGTCTGTTGTATCCATCATCATCATTTCATCAGATCTTCCCGCGTGGTCAAGCAGGTGTGACGTGGTCTGCGTGCAGCAAGATGGTGGCTTTTTCAGCTCGACGTCTGACCGAGCGATAGTGTTGGGGGAGGTGGGTGAAAGAGGGTGATCTTTGTTGTCAGTCGGTTCTGTCTTCCCACAGCATGCCACGTTCTTATTCCGCACAAAGTCTTTGGTGTCTGCTGAGAAATTGCTGCTGCTGCTGCTATTGTTGCTACTGTTGCTGCTGTTGCTATTGCTGCTGTTGTTGCTGCTGCTGATATTGCTGTTACTGTTGCTGTTGCTGTTGTATTTCTGCGGAGTCGTATCGATACGAGAGGTTGAGGTATTCGAGGGAGATCCCGTTTCCTGGGGGAATTTCACCAGAGAAAGGTTTTTGCTGTCAGGAGTTTGAGGATACTGTTCGTGGATGTCCGTGTTAAGGGCTTCTGTGGGCGGTACAGGAGAACCCTTATCGACCACGGGTTTGAACCCAGACGCTTCGTGGTTCGTTGTTATCATCTTGACAGATGGGTGGTCTGTCGCCTCAGAGGTAAGCGGCTCCTGTTTTTTACAGCTGAGATCGAGAGCTTGGTAAGAGATGGCGTCTTTGTTGTCCGCGTCGGTGTCTGCCGACAGGGATGTCTTTTTGCTGTCTTCAGTGGGCGCGCTGTGGTGGTCGTCGTCAAAGCCAGAGTCTGTTGAGAGGCTTGCGAAAGAAAACGACGACGACGACGATGACGATGATGATGATGATGACGATGATGATGATGATGATGAGGAGGAGGAGGAGGAGGATGATGATGACGATGATGATGATGAAGGGGAAGCCGTTGCAGACATAGAGGACACCGGAGAGCAGGTTTTGCGGCTGTCAAGACGATGGTCTTCCTCTTCCAACTTTGTCATGGGGTGCACGATAATTGTGTCCTGTATTTCACACGAGCTGTCAACTTCATTACACGTGCTGTTAGACATTGTCTTATCACCGTAGTTGCTGCTGCTGCTGCTGCTGCTACTGTTATTGTTGTTATTTTTGTAGTTGTAGTTGTAGTTATTATTATTGTTGTTGTTTTTGCTGTTAGCGTAACTGCCGCTGCTCTTACTGCTGCTATTGCTACTACTACTACTACCACTGTTGCTGCTGTTGCTACTACTGCTGCTGTTATTGCTACTACTGCTGCTGCTACCATCACAGCAGCCTTGGCCCAGCCCGGCGTAGTTCCCGAATTTCTTGTGCAGCAGAAAGATGTTGTGGTATTCCAGCTGCCGCTTGTAGATGATACTTTCCAGGGTGTAGGTAGAGGAGAGGAGAGTAGTGTCATGGGCGACCACCAACTTACTCAACACAGCATCCAGTTCCTTGTCTTCAGACGCCATGTTGGGATAACTCTGCAGACGTTTCACCTCGATAGTGTCCCTTGTTCTCTTCTTGTGAGAGTAGCGCCCCGTCTTGATGGCCTCGCGAGACATCCCGAGACTGAGGCATCGTTTGTAACGGCAGAACCGGCACGTGCTTCGTTTGTTGCCCTTCACGTCACACGTTCTGTTCTTGGTGCAGTAGAAGACCATGGGCCGCTTGAGGGCGCGCCGGAAGAAGCCTTTGCACGCCTCGCAACTGTTCACGCCGTAGTGGAAACCCGAAGCTTTCGCGCCGCAGATCCGACACGGGGGCAGAACGGAAGTCGTGCCGTGATGGGTGCTGTTGTTGTCGCTGTTGTTGCTGTTGTTGTGGTTGTTGCTGTTGTTGTTGTTGTTGGTGGTGGTGGTGGTGTTGATTTCGCAGCGTGCTGCTTTGGGTTGGGGGCTGTCTGGCTGGCTGAGAGTACAGCCTTGACCTCCGACAACGCTTTCTTCCTCATTCTCGTGGGTGTGGTGGAGTCTTTTGCCCGTCATGTGAGCCGAGCTCTCGCGTCTGTCTCTCCTTGTTCTTGAGTACGCCACGTTGCTGTTGTAGCTGTAGTTGTTGTTGTAGTGGTTGTTGATGTTGAGAGTGTGAGTTTCTGTCAACTCGCCGCCGCCGCTCGCAGCAAACCCATTCAAAGCACGCGAGGAGGCGAGGAATTCTGGTGACGTCACATCACCATGACGACCAGAAATGTTGTGGGGGCGATAATGGTGGTTAGCGGAGAGCGCCGTGTTTGAAGAATGACCCTCGTAGTCGCTGCTAACACTTCCTCTGTCGTCATCATCACCATCATCATCATCATCATCATCGTCGTCGTTGTAACTGGTGCAACTGTCTTGAGAAACCTCCATTGAAGAACCGTTCACATTATAGATGTCTTGAGACACATCCGCTAAAGAACCGTTGACATAAATGTCTTGAGACACATCAGGTAAGGCACCGTTCACACAGTTGTCAGACAAACGAGTGTCGGGCGGAACCATGTACGAATAGCCTCCCCTTGCCTGTTGAAGGACTTCGTTACCCTCGAAGAAATGATGATGATGATGTCCTGAGCTCGCGCGGTTGAAGGAAGATTTCAGAACGCCGAGGCGAATGGCTTCAGAACTTTCCGCGGTTTTGACAGAGTGCGAGGAAGAGTCAATTTCGCGAATTTGTTGTTGGTGATAATTCGGGCTGTAGAAATACGGACCGACACCGGCTGCTGTTGCTGTTGATGCTGTAGCTGCAGCTGTTGCTGTTGGAGGTGGTGGTATCGCTGGCGCGGGGAAGAAGTTACGGTGGTTGACAGCTGCTGTTTTCAGGTGGTGCTGTTGTTGAGGCGGGTAGGGTGACATGGCGAGCAGAGCGGGTGGGCCGGATCTGATTAGGGGGGGTTCCATTCTCAGTTGTTGTTGTTTTTGTTGTTTTTGTTGTTGTTGTTGTTGTTGTTGCTGTAGTTAGGAGTAACTAGCGCTCTTAGCATGCTGCTGGGTCTGTGGGAGAGGGAAAGAGATGTTTGGTTTTCGTGAGAATTTTACGGCGCTAGCACAACAAATAAGGTCAAAGTTCTAGTAAGAGTTTTACGGCACTTGCAACACAATAAGGTCATATAAGTGCCGAAGATTAGAGGTGTTACAAGAGAGTAATAAACACAAAAAAAGAAAAAGGAGAGGTAAGGACGATAGGTGTTTGATAGGAAAGAAGGAGCAAACCACATCAGAGCACCCGTCAACCACCCACAATTGGGTCAAATAAGCGCCGAAGATTAGAGGTGTTACAAGAGAGTGACAAGCACAAGCAATGAAGGTCTTAGTATTAGTAAGAGTTATACGGAAGGAGAGATAAGGAGGAGATAAGGATGATAGATGTTTGATAGGAAAGAAGTAGCAAACCACACCAGAGCACCCGCCAACCTTCCTCTAAGGAAAGTGAAAGGGTGGTAGAGGGATTACTCCTGCATGGGGAAACATTTAAACAGAGATGTTTGTGGTTGCTTCGGTAAGGTTTTACGGCGCTCGCAACTGCATTAGGTCATATGAGCGCCAAGGGGTGGATGTCAACAGAGAAGTCCTTACAGGGAATCAGGCTTACTCTGCTCACCTCTCTAGCTTCAACAACACAAAGTCTGCTTCGACTATCAAGGCAACCCGGATATAGTGGGTCACAAGTGTGTGACAAACATACAAAAGAACGAGAGGAAAATGACGATAGTAAGGATGAGGAAAGAAAAAGCAGCAGTTCCCCCTATGTTGTTCCGGCATAGTATGAGCATGACATTGATAAATCAGCCCATTTACAATTCTACTGTGCATAAGAACATGTTAATATCCCCCCTTTGAGAATGGCTTAAAGACACTTCAAACACGGCACTGCCACGGAGGGGGGTGGGGTGGGAGGGGGGGGGGGTGCTAAAATGAAAAAAACAAATGTCGCTGCTTTTCCATGCCGGGGTACACAGTTCAGGAATTTAGGTCATGATGTAGGAGGCGGGCTTCTGGCTTTCACAAATCGTTTTTCTTTTCCGACTTCGACAAACCGTTATTCGTTTTGGTGACCGCGACGATACCGTTACCGATGATATCGGAGGAAGGTCGGCAGAGTAGAATGACAGGAACACGTTACAAAAGCAACAGCAAACAACAAAGACAGTTACAGCAACAACAACAACAACAACAACAACTACATCTACAAGAACAACAACAACAACACCAACAACATCAAACAACAAAGACAGTTACAACAACAACAACAACAACAACACCAACAACTACATCTACAAGAACAACAACAACACCAACAACAGCAACAACAATAACAACAATGACGACAACACCAAAAACAGAAATAACAGCAGCAACAATAATAATAATAAACAAATAAATAATAATAATAATAATAATAATAATAATAATGATAATAATAATAATAAAAACAATAATAATAATAATATAAACATATTTGATAAATAATAATAATAATAATAATAATACCTTAATAACAATAAGGTAAAAATAATAATACTGATATTAATACAAATCGTAAAAATAACAATAGTGATAACAATAGTAATGATGATGATAATAATAATAATAACAACAAAAACAATAATAATAATAATATTTATAATAGTACTAATAATACAATAAAAACAAATAATAATAATAATAATTACAATAATAATAATAATAATAATAATAATAATAATAATAATAATAATAATAATAATAATAATAATTACAATAATAATAATAATAATAATAATAATAATAATAATAATAATAATAATAATAATAATAATAATAAAAATAATAATAATATAATAATATTTATAATAGTACTAATAAAACAATAAAAACAAATAATAATAATAATAATAATAATAATAATAATAAAATAACAACAACAACAACAGTAACAATAATAGTACTAACAACACAAAGATACCACTATAAAAGATCAAAGACGTCAACGTTACTAGAGAACGGCCCTGGAGTTCAACACTGCTGTCCCGGTGTCTCGACGCTCGGTGACTGCTCCTGTCTATCTGTAGTATCTGACCGTGGCCTACGTTATTAAAGAAGGCCACGATCTGACTGACTGCCATAATATTCTCCTTCCCACATCTGACGTCTGCTCAAGGATCCTTGCGTCTGCCGCGAAAAAGAGGTGGGCAAAATCCGGATAAACTATCCGGATAACCGGATAATTCTCAATGAAACATTATCCGAATTCAAACTCTTAACTCCATTTCCTGACCAGTTTGTCGAAGAGGTTCTAACTCATTTGCCGAAGCGGTTCATAAACGTAATATTATTATTAGTTGCCGAAGAGGTGAATTAAAACATTATTATTCGGATTTCGCTAAAGCGACTCACTGCCCAGCCCTGTTGTGAACCATGCCCTCACAGAACGGCGTCCTCAATGACGCAACTAGAGCGGAGTGTGAAGATTTCGAAGCTGCACTGTCATTGAACGTGAGGCTCACATTCTTAAACACCGTGCACACCGACAGTTGGATGTATTGGCTTGATGAAATCGGGGTCTGCTAGATTTTTGGTGGTTTTTAAGCTTTTAGTTTTTAGTTTTAGTAAGTGTTTAAAAAAAGTTTTGGTAGAGGTTTTACGGCGCTCGCAACTGCATAAGGTCATATAAGTACCAGAAGATTAGAGGGGTTACAAAAGAGTAACAAACATAAAAAAGAAGAAGGGGAGATAAGGACGTTAGATGTTTGATAGGAAAGAAGAAGCAAACCACACCAGAGCACCCGCCAACCACCCGCTTTTAGTAAGTGTTTTACGGCACTTGCAACACAATAAGGTCATATAAGTGCCGAAGATTAGAGGTGTTACAAGAGAGTAACAAACATAAAAAAGCAGGAGGAGAGATAAAGACGAAAGATGTTTGATAGTAAAGAAGAAACAAACCACACCAGTGCACCCGCCAATCACCCATCCGCTTTTTAGCACCATGGGGCTATCCCGAAAAATACTGTTTTGGAAATATCGAAGGTAAAGTTTTTGCCCCTTGTTCAGTTTCTTTAAAAGACAAGGAGAGTTTTCTCTATAACCAAACAAATATACACACCAATGAAACCAAACTTCTCCTATACGTAGGGCTATGCCCACTTTTGGTGTAGGTCAAGATTTCTGGAAACCCCCGACATCTGGGTTAGCCCGCTTGTCCTTAAATAAAAGCGACCAATTTTAACCTTGCGGATGGGGTAATTAGCTAGACCATTTTGCCAGCGCCAAAAAAGAACACTTACCAAAACAAAACAACAAATGTGAGGCAGCGCGGTGGAATCAGGCTCTCATCAATTTTTGGGCATGTAGAGTTATTGGTACCATCTTAAAGCTTGTTCACTTGTCTTTATTTGGATGAAAAAGGTATCCATTTATCTTGAATGCAAGTCGATATATTTACGAATGAAGTAGGTGGGGGTCACCTGTTCTCCGAGGAAAAATTAGTGAGAAAATGGCCGCCAAAGATTACTTATTTCCTTAGCTTAAAAGTCCGTGGTAACTGAAAATTTACATTTTTTGTGCCTTTAATCAACGTTTAAAAAAAATAAATCCACACAGAAATGAGTTCTTTAATGGGCATGAAAGGTGTTGAGCCAAAAAACAAAAAAATTGATAAAAATTCACAAACCTGTGGAAAAATGCAAGTTTCTTCACTTTGATTATTTTGACGAGAGCCTGATTCCACCACACTGCCTCACAAATAATACCATTTTGGCACTATACCACCGATTAGACTTAGCGACCTTGAAAAACAAGCGCGTTAGAGTTTAAAGGTCACAGACGGATCTAGTTGAATCTGGTCGCGTGGTGTGAAAATAGCAGCTGGTTTTTTTAAAGCCCATTCACGAAGGAAAATGTGGCAGGTCCTATTTGGTCTGATGAATCTGATGAATTTGATGAATTCGACTGACAGTGTGCACCATTTATTAGACTGCACTGACCGATATTATTTGAAGTCCCAGATTGGTCCGTCGGTATCGGTAAAACCTTACCACCCCCCCCCCCCCTGAAAAAAGGTAACACTAAAATATAAAGATGTTATGTTCATGGAATCATTCAGTTCAGAAAGTAAATGATTATAGCCTAGTCACGAGTATCTAGAGGAGAAAATCTTGGTACATTGTATATAAGACAAAGGGACATAGAGTGTAGATAGAGGTCAAGAAGGAAGCACAGACAAAATGAATACAGACAGAGCTGAGGAACACACGGAGAAAGTGTGCGTGGTTGGCGGGTGCTCTGGTGTGGTTTGCTTCTTTATATTCTTCTTTCCTATCAAACATCTATCGTCCTTATCTCCCATTCTTCTTTTTTAAGTTTGTTACTCTCTTGTAACACCTCTAATCTTCTGGCGCTCAAATGACCGTATGCAGTTGCGAGGGCCGTAAAACCTCTACTAAAACTAAAGGGAGAAAGTAAAGTTGTTCCCGCATCCGATCCGGACATTGGGGATTGCCTTGTTAGTGAGACAACTTCCTGGGACTTCGGCATATTGTGATAGGGTGGCCAGTTCCTCTCCACGCCGCCTTTACTTCCCCAACTCGAAGTCAGGCACCCATTACTGCTGGGTGGGCAGGAGGGGGCGAAAAAAAAAATCCGTGTCTGAACCGAGGCTCGAACCCGGACTTTCCGCTTCGGAGACGAGCGCACTAACCGCTTCTCCACTGCACCCCTAGGGAGAACGAAAGAACACGGAAACATACAGGGAAAAGGACAGAAAGAAAAAATACATGGGAGACATACACGGTCACATGACGGAAAAAGACAGCGGAGGAATACAAAGAACCGGAATTATTGTTGCTTTAAAAAAAGTAAGATAAAACAAAGTAAGATAAAACAAGTAAGATAAAACAAGTAAGATAAAACAAGTAAGATAAAACACAAATAGGCCAAAGCGGTCGAAGGATTAGAAACAATGTCGGCTAAATAAAGTGGAATATTTTCACATGGCGAGCACCCAGATAAACGTCATCGGCTGAAACCTTGAGGTGAAAAAGTTGGGCCAAAAATCGGGGCCTGATAAGAG